GACTTGTGAGGGAGGGCCACAGCTCTCAAGAGCTTATGGGGTTGTTAATTGATGGGCCTGGACCAGCACAATTGAATTAATAAATCGAGAAGATAGCCTGTGGTTGAAGAGTCACATAAAATTTGTCTTTTCTAAGTTTTCCTGAAGAAACAAAGGAAATAACTAGCCATTTTGAAAAAACAAAAACAAAAATTGATGGCATCCTACAAGTCGTGCCAACAGTCCAATCATGATCACTCCTCATGTCCTGAAGGCCTGAGTAGCTCCTTCCTTCTTTTTTATATTTGTTTTTTAGTTTTAGATGGACACAATATCTTTATTTTATTTTACGTGGTGCCGAGGATGGAACCCAGTGCCTCACGCAGGCCAGGCGAGCGCTCTACCACTTGAGCCACATCCCCAGCCCCCCTCTCCTTTCTTCTTGATAGAAGAATATCCAGGTAAACCTCCTTACAGCTGAAGTTTGGCACATATGATATGGTTTTTATAGCATGAGGTAATGGAGAAACGTTCCTGGACTCTGCTGCCACAAAATCGCTGCCACAATTTTCTCACCAAGAGATGAGTTGCATTTCTACCCACTGGACATGGGCTGCTCCCTCCCTGCACCTGTCCTACCCTCGGCAACACCGAGGTCATTGGTTTGCTGCTTAGTATTTTACAGAAGAAAGAATGCGGGCACCAGAGTAAGAGAGGCTTGAGCTGGAATCCTAACCCCCACCTCTCAGCTCCGGAACCTGGGCCGCCACCTAACCCCCAGGACTGACGGAGGAGCGTCAGGGAGGGAGACTCCCTACCCGCTCACCTCTGCCCCCTTCACCCTCTGTCTGCTGCTCTGTCTTCCTGAGACCAAGAAGGGAGGAGTATCAGAGACCCAGCAAAGGGTAAAATTCTGACATTGTGATAACAGGTGGTGATTGTCCATCTCTCTGGAAGTCTCCATGCTTGTTCAGAAGTTCTCAACCCAAATGGAGGAGACTCGTCTGTACTGTCCAGTAGGACAGCCCTTGGCCACATCATCATGTGGGCCATCATTCAAATTTATTAAATCAAATTAAAAGTCCAGTTGTTGGCCATCTCAGGTACTCAGTAGCCACAGGTGGCCAGGGGCCATTACTTCAGGGTAACTTGGAGCATTTCTATTACCAACAAAGTGCTACTGAACAGCGCTGCTCTAGCTACCCACCAAGACTACTCTGCTGAAAAGATCACTTGAAAGGAACTGTGAAAACTCCTTCTCCTCTCGGCATCTGTGAAATTTGGAAGTTGGAAAAATACATGTTTTAGGTACATGAATCACTAGATACACTGACTTTTAGGAAAACTGGTTTTAGAAGATTGGAGGAGAGGCAGGAGATGAGGGAGAGAAAGAAAAGGAGAAATTGTGAGCAGTCAGGTGTTAGGGGGTCTCCACTCCTGACACTTGTATCTGCTATTGGAGCTTCTCCGTTCAAACCATGTCCCTGCTGGCTTGCCTCAGTGGGCAGGACGATAGAACGTTGCCAAGCTGAGAAGTCGAGGCTTCATTTACCACTGGGTGACATTTATGACAAAAAATACAGCTTGATTGGTGAAGGCCAATTAAGAGAACTTCAGGCTATCAGAGAACCATCTTTGAAGCATGGTAGATTTCCAGAAATCCTGCAGATCACTCGCATTCTTTGCTCAGGGAAGTTAACTAGCCAGGGCAGTTTGCCCAGCCTTGGAACCCAAGGCCCTGAGTATTCTGATCCTGCGAAGACACCAGCAAGCACCGTGTGAGGTGGGCATGCAGTGCTCAGACTCCGTGACCCACTTCCAGGTGGGGATGCGCCGTATGGGCCACCTGGCTGAGGGTGGGCATGGATGGCAGTGGGCGTCCGGGTTCCTGGCACCTGCCTTTTGCATAAAAAAGGAGGAAGACTGGAACCTAGAGACAGAAACCCAATAAGCCCAATAAAGCCATTGTTCTATGAGGCTGTTTCTTTGTACTCAAAAATATCATCCTAGACTTAAGTTTTCCAGAGCTTGAAGATCTGTTCATTTAGAAGGTCACATTCTTGGCCTAACATCGTGGCCCGCAAGAGGTGTTCAGGATCCTGGAGATCCCAACCCCTTCTTTGGACTCTTTAAGAACCCTGAATTACCTCAGAGGAGAGGCCCATCATGGCGGGACCTTCTCAGATCCTGTCCAGGCTGAGCGCTTCTCACATACAGAGTTCTGGGTGAACTCTTTGGTCATCTGAGATCAAGTGCAAGATAATTAAAAGGTCTACAGGCAACAGAATGACACAAGAGCTACTGCTGACCCCCAAAGTATGGGATCCTGGGTTTCCCAGATACTGTTACGAGAAAGTTCTGGATTTAGAGTCAGGAATGCTGGTTTTGTCCATGTCCCTTTGACTTTTCGGGACCTCAGACAGGTCTCATTACCTCTCTCTCTGTTTCCTTATTTGAACAAAACAAGAGGGTAACCTAGGGATTGTGGAAGTGCTGCTCCTAGGAACAGCATGGCCCCCACCGGGACGGGAACACACCAAGCACTCCACAAGCAACCTGAACCCCACCTACCTCTGGAGGGGACTCCGGACTGGCTGACAGCTCTGTGTCTTGCCTCTTGTTACTGGGACCGGGTGACTGGAAGCTGAAACAGAGGCCAAAGAGCAGGAAAACAAAGTTTAAAGGTCTAGAAATCAATAGTGATTTAGGTATCAGATATTTGGTTCTCCCCAAAATTACTGTTGGCTGTATTACAGACATTTTTTTTTAAGTACTCACCCATCCAGAAGTATTTTCTTTGATAGAGTCAGTGTCTCCTGTAAGCTGGAAAGAACACTGTGTACGGGTGATAGCTCTGGCTACCCACGGGATTCCTAAGTGACGCGGCTCCAAAGTCTATTGATGCGTCTGAGTCCGCCCACAGAGAGGGGTCGAGGACAGAGTCTGTCTTCAGCATCCATCCTGCTCAGGGCTGATTCTCCTTTCCAATAAATCCACAGCCCTCTCTCCCACCACATGCTTCCAGATCTTCTGTAGATGAAAGGAGATTGAAGGGAAGGATTCTGGAAGATGACCAGCTAACAAATGAAGGAAACGAAACGATCAAACCCAGCGGTTGGCACAGGCTTGTTGGAAGAGGGTGGAGAGATGCAGTCACCAGACACCAGGGCGGGCATGACACCAGACCCGTCCGTGCCGTTGGGGATCTTTAGGAAAGAGTCCAGTGGACCAGAGTCAGGGGCCCGAGAGGAGCAGACTTCCTTCTCTAAACCCCTCTGCAGGAGTGTTTTACACAGAGGCAAGAGCAGCCCGGTGTCACACTTCTTCCCACAGAAAGGACCTCCAAGGACGAGCCAGTACAAAGACGAGCACGGAGCCAGAGACCTGGGAACAAAGGCCTGGGGTAAACAGGGGCCACCTGCCAGAGGCTTCGTCCCCGGCGTGGCAATGTGAAGAAGTGTAGGAACTTGAAGAGATGGGCCAAGAGGAGGGTGGGTGGGTCCTTGGGGACACTGTCCTTGGGAAGGGTTAGTGCCTGTTCTGTGGATGAGTTAGTTCTCACGAGTAGGTTGTTACAAAAGGAAGCCGCCCCACACTGGGGCTCGCTCTGCACACAGCTTTTCCCTTTTCACTCCTCTGCCAAGGAGGCCCTCATCAGAGGTTCAACAGACGAAACTGCCCAATCTTGGAATTTCAGCCTCCAAAACAAAATGTTTGTTTCCTTTTTCCAGTTTCAGGGCCTCGAACATGCTAGGAAAGCAGTTTACACTGATTTACATCCCCACCCCCTAATACCTTTTCTTTATAGAGTTCTCTAGCCTCTGGTATTTTGTTATAGCAACAGAACAAATATAGTGCTTAATCTAAAATAATTGAATTATGCATTTCCAAGACATTGGTTCATATGGCAGGAAAATTATGTTCTGTGCAGAGCGATCACTGTCTTTTGCTGTATCTGGTCCAGATCCTGATGGTCTTAAAAAGCCTGTTTCCTCCACAGAGTTCAAGGTCAATGACTACTTCCTATAAACTTGCCCTGAGCCCTTGGCTGATAGGTCCCACCTTGTATTAGTCAGCTCTCTGTCACTGTAACAAACACTTGAGGTAGTCAGCTTATAAAGAGAAAAGATTTGTCTTTGCCTGAAAGTTTTGGAGTTTTCAGCCCATGATTGGTTGACTCTGTTGCTGCTTTGGGTAAGGCAACACATAAGGCAGGAGC